CTTCAATAAACCCTAGGCCAGAAGACTGTATGCGGCCAGCTAAATAAATTTGACTTTAAGCAGAACATTGGGCAGAGACATAGAGCGCTATTCTCTCTTCAGAGATGGAGCAGACGAGCGTTCGAGAGGGTTGGGGATCTTGCAATCCTCATCAATAGGTTGAATCGCAAAGAATGTGAAGGAGTAACTACGCTTTGGACATGATCACACGTTTTAAAGACTGCAAGTTCACGATGAGGTGCACACAAGTCCATGCTGAAATCAATTTTGCGTTGTTCTGGCTGAAGGCGTAGGGGTTCATAATCCTAAATGTGTGCTGTTATGGCGCCAAACACCTTCTACACGACGCAAATTGCGATGGTCATTTTGCTCTCAATCCCAGACAGGACAGAACAGTGATTGAAAATTCTAGCCCATCTAGGCACTGCATTTAACGATTTACTGCTTGAACCACGAGCTCAAGCTCTACATGCAGCCGACATGAACACTTCGTTGCAGAACGGAAGACGATTCCTCTGTTGGGCCCTCGGCCGCTCTGATTAGGAGCTCTCAGGCGCTCGCTCGTCCGCATTTGCACCTGTAACCATGGCACCAGTAAGTACTGAGGTTAATGTGATGCTGGCAGTAGTCTTGGCGTCCGCACTAATGAGAGATGATTGGAGAGCGACCTTAGGATTGGTAAGCCGGCATATGTAACTGCAAGCATGTTTCTAGGGCAGTTGTGTTTTCAGTGAACCGACAGCAATCATTGGAGAAAATAAAACGTTCAAATAAATAAAAACATCAAAGTAATTTATGTTATATGTCGGCTACTGAGTGAAAAAAGTTCCCAGCAAGCTGATCAACCACAGCGTATGCCGGAACGCATTACACACAAATCGGTATTTCACTGAGGTGAGACACTAAAAGCAAACAACACGGGATAAACTTTTAGACATACATGCTGGCCTTTAAATGAGCCCCTTCAGGTGGATCAGTGTGAGTTTCGTTCGGAAAAATCTCTAACTAAGCACTTGCTTTGCATGCTGATCTCGCGTTACCTTAAAATGCCATCATCTGTCCCAGAAAAATTCTTTTTAATAAGTGTGTCGCATTAAATAATGCCGTCTTCCGAGTGCGTGAAAATGGCCGCACACTTTGAAACGCAAGCTCTGTATTTTATCTGGGGTGAATTGCGCTATCACACTCCTCCATATGGAAGCCCTTAACGCTCGTAAAATATTGAAAACGGAATCAATTATGCGTTGTCGGTAGCTTTAATAAATCTGTGAATAGTAAGCGTCGCAAAATTTCGCAGAAAATACTTAAAAGGAAATACTCTTCTGTCTCACGTATACAAATTCAATAATGAACAGCCTATAAAATAGAGCATAAAAGCAAAATTTCTGTGCATTCTATCCAGAAGATATGAATACGTTTGTGCCGACATCAACAGCGAATATAAAATATATATCCTTCTGAAATAGTACTGTTTGGGGCATCATGAATTCAGGCGCTTTGAGGGAATTGTTCAGACGCTAGCATAGCACCACGTAGTAATTTATGTGAGGTTGCGGTCCCCTCTAAGTAACTGTGTAGTTTAGCATGCGTAATATTTTTTTCCATCTGAAAACGCACTGAGATGATAAGTCAATGTCCCACAAGGTTCGGCGTACAAAATACTAAAATTCCCAAAGCTTACACGATGTGATTATTCGGAAAATGCCCGAAGAGTTGTGTTAAGTCCCTTCTTAAAGCATATGAATGCTTAGAATTTTCAACTCTAACATATAGGATACTTTGGCTTCAACAATCTCAACAGTTCAGGTGTTTTTAAGCAGGACATAAATTTCTCTAAATCGGCGGATGGGTACACCCCTGACCACAATTCCATGTGGTGATACTGAAGTGTCTTTTGTAGCGAAGCTGCCAAAGCACATAAACCTAAAGCTACGAATATATTTTAAAAAAACTTTTTATTAAATTCAGCAGAGTAGCAGAGTTGCAGTTGCAAGCATTTATTTGATTAAGAAAAGTGACTTAAAACAAAAACGTTATGGTATGCTAGAGCTTTGCCAATTCCCCTGGGAAAAAAGGTTTTGCAACACGATAAGAACACGGTGACCACCAGGGAACACTATGTGCGGGAAGTTAACAACCCCATGAAATGTCCATCGAAATTCTCAAATGCGCCATTGTTTGGATTTCAATATTGATTATCATCTACCATGATATAAATGATATTTCAGCCATGCCAGCTTTTTAACGTCGGTCTTTCTGACCGCTTTTAATAACCATACAGCCTTTTAAAAAATGTCTTTCTCCGTAGATTTTCGGTGCCCTTATATATTCCAAAATAATTTCCAGAAAAAGTGCTCACTCATTTCCTTTTTAGTAGTTTGTCTTCTTCCAGTGACAGACTCTGTGGGGCTCGGGAAATCTCGATAAAAACGTGGTCAACGAAAACAAAGGCTAAGTTAAAAGACAAATATACTGTGGTATATGTAGGAACTCGACGGTCGGAACACATTTCCTTCACTATAAGCAAGCCGACGCCCTTAAAGCTATCGCGGTGAGCTAAACGCCGTGGCCGCACAGTCAGCCCAGTATGTGCTTGTTTGGTGCGGCCGATTGGCGGATTGAGAATCAGTCCGTAATGGCTCCTTCTTAATGTGGTCCTTCTGGCACTTCCATTCCATTGGGCTAAAGCCAGTTGATACGGCAGGTTCAAATGCTGCTCCGGTCACACCAGCCACCTGCGCCCAGCCGTTTCCAGTCTTATTGACTTTATTGTAACACCGGACACCGGTGGGGGAGGAGAGGGTGAGGTGGACACATCGAAAGTATCTTCTCATTATAATGTAATCCACGCACAAGGCACCGTTACCTGTGCCCCTTACTGTAATGAACATGGCGGTCTTGTCGGACAGAACATTCAAACTGTCACTTTAGACTTCTGAGGAAGAAGTTCAACAGCACGCCCAATACTGCCTAATGAAAAACACCACGCAAAAAGAAAGTAAAAAGGTCGAAGTAGTGAACTTACTCTTCCTACGCCAAGTGACTTTGCTGGAGTGTTAACACAGATCAAAATGATATCGGCGTCAGACAAATGACGGTCAACGTCTGCCGATATTGTTAGATTGACTCCAAGACACTTATTAAGAGCCTCTCGAAGACCAGGCTGAAGGAGATAGGGGTGCGGAAATGATGAAAAAAGGTCAGGATGGTCAGTTTTAGAGGAAATATGACCATTTACTACTAGGTGACTAAAGATGAAAAATTTGTTGCGGGTAAAGCATGCTGTTACTTGTACCTGTTAAGACTGTGACCAAATATGATGAAGTCAATCTAAAACGCTGTAAAGATTTTACCCATCCACATGTGATGGTCTACGACAGCGGATCTGCAGAGCTAGATCCACCCTCTTTTCCGACGGCAAAGACCGAATACCAAAGGTCCAAAAATTACTCCTATGTCACAATGGTCTGAGCTAACATCCACAAAGGCAATGTACGGGTAGCCTTTTAAGAAATGGTGAGCGCTACGAGCTCCGGTAGAACCGTCACCGTTGTGCCGCGACTGCTTATTCGCCAGCTGTAAGTATGCTTTTTTCGCAGCTAGGCTTCGGTGTCAGCCGTGAATACGCAGAGTAGTCAGTAGCCACGCCAAAGAGTCGAGCTACCGTATCAAAGTATATGTTTGTAAATACGATCACAAAATTGTGCTTCTGAACACCTATTTAAAACTTACAATAACGGTCGGGAATCTCTAGAAAGTATGCTTGATCGAAAAAGTATTCGGCAACGGATTTGAGACGGTCGAACTCCACGAGTTCTTTTCGTCGAGTGACTTGTAAAATGCCAATACAGTCAATGTATTGGCTAATCAAAGACTTTCTGTCCGTCAATTTTTGATTGATACATAGAAATATGATGGTTTATTGGGCGAGCAACATCGATTATATGCCTAAGCCCCATACCTAGACGTGTCTGGAGCTTTTACAAACCAGTTATTGTATTTAATTGGCAGTTATTTCATGGAGATACAGGCACAGAAATCCAAAAATCGGTAAAGGTGATAATATTCATAGGTAGACCGATGTGGAAGTTCGAAATACTATTGATAAAAGTGCTCACCTCATCAATTGGAAGATATTCGCTATTCCAACGAGTAACAAGATCTTGGTCTTCATCAACAACGTGAACCTGTATTTCGGGACACTGTATTGCGAGTACGGCGCATGTTGGGACACCGAGAATGCCGGCACCGATACCACAAATTTTACGGGGTTGTACCTGATTATCGCCAGCGTTCATCTGAAATAAATGGCAATGAGTTGAACACCATGTGTATCCAGCACAGCTAGACTATATGTGCACAGGAAAAAAAATACAGATAGCTAATTTCATCAGGTTTTTTAAGCATGCTCACTGCTGTGTCTGTCCTAACATGCTTACTTCACAACTGTCTTGAATTACGCTGCACACATGTACGTATTGCCAAAGCGCTGGTGTTTAACTACAGCGTACAGTTTTAAATGAGGTACCCAGTACTGATAAGGTAAACGGTCGAGCGTGCGGTTTTTAGTAACGATTTCAGCTTGTAAAAATATAAGGGACGATGAAGTACACTAAAGAAGATCTTTTTTGTTCTGCTTCTATGCTGTCCTACTCACTCGTATTGAAATGAACCTGGTATAAAAGAGCGAGATGCCGGAAAATGAAAAAGCGACTTGCAAAGAGGGTGGCTTACGAAATATAGTTTGCAGGACGCCTACTTCGTAATTAGAGGCGCAGCCTGTCGACGTTATGCGAGAGAATAGCTTGGGCACAATATTGTATTACAGATTCGAAACTGCAGATACGACTCAGGCTTACTGGAAGTGACAATCGTAATAATTTTGAAGATACGGATAAGGATCACGTAACTACTGGTAGAGGCAATCGTCAATGTAATACGCAGCGGCGCCTTGACGCCACATATCACATATATGTGTATTTATAAATACACATATATGTGATATGTGGCCACTTGGTACTCAAAAATGAGCGTGTACGCTCATTTTTGAGTACCAAGTGGCTATCGGTCGCGATATCATAATTAATTCGATATTAAAGCAACTGCTGTAACTTGCAAATGCCAAAATTTTAATTATATAAAAAGGCCTGAATGGTAGAAACAAGGAGAAGAGAGAAAATCGCAC